ACTGACTCTCCCAACTTCCCTTTCCCATGAGAGCTCCAAGCCCATAACCCATGCACCCTCAAACATGAAGAACAATTTGGAGCCTAATTTCACCCATCTTTCCGCTCCAGATTTCTGCCACGTATGATTTGCACCGTCTCGCATCGGTCCTGCAATACGGCGACGTCGTGGTCATCATCCACGTTTGCTGTCAGAGTGACATGAGTTTGCGCAGTCTCCCATCCAGTAAAGACGAGCGCCTCGTGAGTTCCCGGTGCATCGCATCGCCAGCCGTGTGCTACTCTGAACGTGTGGTTGCCCCGGAGCTGTTGCGCGTAGCTTGTGACAGCCCTTTCAAGATCCTCGACGCACTCTTCCTTGAAACGAAGTCTCTCCATTGTCAAGACGGGTGCTTTTAAAGGAAGCAAATGCATACCATCTAGTTCCACATGGACAGTCCAACAAAATTGGAGCATATCTTCTTGGGGCCAAGGACCTCGTCTCGCGCTGGAGATTCTAGGAACTTCAAGTGTGCTTCCAAATTTGGCCATATGCCCAAAATATAGATCAACTTGGGGTCCTGGATGCAGTTGTAAAACTGTGAGCTTGTATGCAGTTTCTCTCGCACAGCTGACAGGTTCTCAAGCAATGCTGGATCGTCGGCGGCAACATTTTTGAGACGCAATTGGGTTATTTCGAGAACCGCCATGCTTCACAAGGATTGTGAAGAATTTAGAGCTCGTGTCGTGGACTAGAATAGTACTGTGGAGAGGATGTGGGAAGAGCACAGTGGTGACGATGGACGGGGAGAACCTGGAACACGGCCGGACGGTGACTGGGGTGGGTTAGCGCCTTGGCATTCCACCCCTACGCCGCGCAGCGATTGACATTGAGGCCAGTCAGCAGCTGCTTCGACACTCTCGCTGCCTGAACATCATTTGTGCCTGGTACGCCTCGCAGGCTTGAGACGGTAATGTTACGCGAAAGCTCCCAGCCTCGGTCGATCGAATGGATCCTATTGGTGTTTGCGGAAACTTCGCATGACCTCGCAGTGCGCCCATCGACCACGGTGGCCACGACGTTACATCACAGCATTCTCTGAAATAGTTGCATGCAAGTACAACTATTATTAAAGAGCTCTCTGGTACATGGGTTCTTGGTGAGTCAAAGGCGACGCCATGTGCACTTCTGCGCCCTTCCAGCAACCCATCTTTTGGACGCCGCCAGTGTCAAGGCAACCTATCGGCGCACATCATCCTCTTGGCGATGCTTGTCGCTATCTCGTAATGCAAAAATAGCCTGTCAAACAGCTGCAGGCAACAGTAAAAGCCAGACGTCCCATGCTATCGTTGGCTCGTGATACAGCGACGTCATTGCGACAGAGCCGGCATCACCGGGATGTGGTTGGGATGGTCTCGAGGAAGGTATGTCACGACTATAAGTTGGACTCGCAAAGTAGGCCTGAAGCGGTTGCAAGGCATAGATGCTCTGCCGGTTGATGCATATCAGCAGCACAGCCCTCAGAACCACCAGGCGCCATCCAACGGTATGGCTGCATACCGGTGAGCTGGCTAGTAACCGGAGACATCTAGAGCTTCACCATACTAAGCCGTTTTGGGGACTTTGACTATCAGGCCCCTAGGCGAAACAGCGATCCCATTAGTTGGCCGTTTGTTTTATAGTATAGTGCTGTAAGCCCGCCACGGTTCAGCCGTAAACCTGGCGTCCCCTGATTAACGGACCACCCACACCCGCGGGGTCGCTTCATACTCCCGCTCTCGGCCCCCAGACTGTGCAATTCCCATCTTTAGAGACATTGGATACCGCATACAGCAAAGTATATATCGCCACAGGGGAAGCGAACCCGCAGATCGCAGAATCCTTCTCATATTTCTGATATCAATGTTGTCTCCACAGGATCACGGTACTGTAGTCGAAAGCTCTTCGAGTGACTCACCGACTTTGTCGGATAGTGGAAATGGGAGTGCACCACCAATGCCTCGCAGACCAATTCCAAGGAAAGGACACACCAAATCCCGCCGCGGTTGTTTCAACTGCAAGAAAAGGTACTCTAACGATGTTCAGGCGTTCGTATCGCTCAGATAACCTAATTCTAGCACAGAAGAATCAAATGTAACGAGAGACATCCTGAGTGTCACCATTGTACCAAGGCGGGATTGCAATGCGAGTATCCAGCAAATATCATTCAAGCAATGCAACGTCTTCCTACTTCACCGCACCCTCAGGAGGGGGGCAACCTGGGATCGACGCCAGGCGTCTTCGTAAGTATGCTTCAAGCGTGCTTTGAATGGTATAGTGACTTACGATCATAGTCCATGGCAGACATGCGTTTGTTCCATCATTTTCTCATTACCGCCTACCCGCATCTCCCGGTCGGAGCTGACAAGATTTGGATCACGGCGATTCCTGGCTTTGCACACAATGTATGTGTTTTCCATCAGACAAGGAAGAAGCCTTGGGGCTATACTTAAATGTAAGAAGGGGTACTAACTATTTCAGTACGAGTACCTTATGCATTCCATCTTAGCGCTGGCTGCGTCACATCTGGATGCTGTAACGCAGTCGGGTGTTGCAGAACAAGCCATACAGCACCGAATCCTCGCGGTCAAATCGCTCAACCAAGCGCTCTCAGTACCCCCAACAACCGCCTGCGAGCGCGACGCAAGAATGGCCGCGGCTCTGGTACTTGCTTTCCAATCAAGTCACCTGCAGGACGGCATGGCAGAATTCATGACAATGGTCCGTGGGTGTAACCTGATAGCAGGCAACAACATGATGTTCATCGCCGACTCAGTCTTCAACGTATGTACAGCAATCTGCACAAGAAATTGAAGGCTCACACTGACCCCCTCTAGGCATTCTGCGCGGATTCCCATCTTGAGAGAATGCAGAAGCGAATCGGAACATCGAGGGTGAGCTGCTTCAACCGCGAAGATCTCGACATGGCATCGTTATCTCTCGACCTTATCCAGACCTTGAACATGTCCGAATGTGAGCGGTCATACTGGGAGTTGCTCGTATGCACAATCACTCATGCGTATGACCGCCCACCAGAGACATATCAAACCTTTGTTATGCTCTACAACACACCATCCAAGTGGACGCATGATGAGTTCCAAGCCTTCATCGATCCCAACAACAGTGTTGCGCAAATTCTGCTGGCTCATTTCATCGCGGTCCAGGCTATTCTTACACCAATCCTGTACCTCGAAAGAGTGGGCTTTGAGGGTGTACATGCCCCTACTGCCGTGCTGAGCTGGATCGAAGGGATATACTGGAATATACCGTGTCGCATGAGGCATCATATGGAGTGGCCCAGACAAGTGTCGCGGTATCCTTATACTCGGTTCATGGGACAGAAGGAAGTAGAATATTGCGATGTGGACCCCCTTCTTATTTGACATCGTCGGCAAGTTACACTTTCGTTGGACTCTTTTTGTTATGCACTATCGAGCCCGTGTATTACTTACGAACAACGGCCTTTATGTACTACTAAGATACCCGCGATCGCTTCGTAGCTTCTACTCGCATTTCATTTCACTTTATCACACGTTTAAACTCTCATTGAACACCCACACATCGTCATTAACATGACACGGATAACACACCTGCTTTCTCTCATACGTCCAGCCGGCACACAACTTCGCTCAGCACGCACAACATATCCCCATTTCCTGAACACTATCCGCAAACCTCACAAACATCTTCATCCTCCATCGTCATATGCTCATGATATTCTCTCTGCTCACACATATCAAAAAACGCATGACCAATACCAATCCTCGCATACCTATCCATAACCGCTTTCCAAAACGCAGTTGGAATCTTCTCCGCTGTCTCATCTTCCAAGTGCATTACCAGCGGTTGCGTTATGAACTTCCCCCGGTCTGTATTTATCGCAGTGATAGTCCACGAGTAGACGCCTCAAGCGGTCGGAGGCTTCGGTGTGAGAATGAAGCTTTGTATACGCGAAAATGACGGTTGGGTAGTACGGGGTTATTCCCGTTGCGAATGCCTTGTCGACGAACGCGTTCCCTACAGCTTCTGCGAATAAGGGGATCAGGTATTGACCTGCAAATTCCAGGCATTGGGCTACGAGCAGGCAATCCCATTCGGAGGGTTGTGGCAGTTCTTGTGTGTACATCCAGTCGACGAAGATTTCGAAGACTTCGAGCTCTAGCTTTTCGAGACATATTTGAGTACCGCGCGTTAGGTGTAGCTTGGAGAGCGTGGAGTAGTGCGAGAGATAGTCGGAGTGAAGCAGGTATAGCTTTTGTTCGGTTCCAATCTGGACTAAGATAGTACCATATTTGCCTTGGCGTGCGATTTTACTATAGTCAAAGTTAATCGGCCGTTCATGACTGTAGATATGAAAGTTTCGTTACCTCATCCGGGGTGGCTGTATATCTGCCTCTGCAGGACGCTTTAGGGACTGTGACTGTGGCAGTTGGTTGGCGGAGGCCATGACGACGATCTTTGACTTGTTGTAGGCAAAGGGTCAGAATGCAGGACTTGTAGTGTATGTTAAGAGCAAGGGAATGAAATCTTAATTTATTGCTGTAAAATTTGCGTGCGTTCGCTGCGCAATGATGTTGGACCACTGGCTAACCAAGGTATCTTGGGCTTGGGACCAGATTATGAGAGAGTCTGAGGATTGCGATCTCTCTCATTTGATGAGGAATACCTTTTGCGTATGTGGTGGTTATGTATTTCGGGAGTCGTGAGTGGCTCGTCTCGCTCTGCGTCACCGCAGTACCATGGATGGGACCAGATTATGAGAAGTTCGGCCAATAGGAAAGCTGTGGTTTGTATTCGCGAGTCGTATAGTAATATACGGTATTATTTTGTATGGTCCTCGAAGCGTTTGCGTCATGTGCTCTTGCGATATTGTTGCTGTGTAGTTCCCAAAAGAATGTAGTGCAGTATACCAGGCCTGTGTACCGTGCCTCGATCAAAATCGGATCCCATCTGACATCGCATCCGTCTGATATGATGCCAAATCACGCAGACATACTTCCAAACCATTTCCTCATCAAGCTCTTCCTCCCCTTCTTCAACTCGTCAACCTCCTCTTCTACTACGACAATCTCCTCCAGCCTGCCCACCCACTTTGCAGGTCCCCGCTCTCTGACAGCTCTCTCCTGTGCTCTGAGCCAATAGTCCTGCTCCATATTACGATCATTACAGGCATTAGTATACCACTCATGCCACTCCTGATGATCCCAGCCGCACCTGCTCCCGTACTTCTCTTTGACTTTCTTCGCGAAGCCCTCGACCTCCGTCTGCGCGCAGGCCGAGCAAAGAGTCTCCTGCGGCAGAAACGAGGTACCAGAAAACGGTGTGCGATAGTAGATGTAATGGTTCGAGTATGGTGTGTAGTAAGCCTTGCAGTGTGAAGACGTGCAAGGACGGAGCGTGTATCGCCAATCCCATACTTCTTCCTGCACCCCGGGTTTCGCTCTTGCGTCATTGCTTTTCTGGTTTAGGGGCACGGGAGGGGCGCCCAACACTCTTTGCTTGTGCTCTCGTACTAGTGCGGCATCTTTGCTTCTGCGGTCTCGGCGGAAGTTTTCTTTGAATATCTCGAACTCGGAGGCTATGTCGTTGAGGGTCTTGCGTCCGGCGCTCTGGCGTAATTTCTCGTATGCGTGCTTGCATGCTGTGTTGGCTTCCTTCATCTCTTGGCTAGCGTGGCGCGGACAATAGCCGTGAAAACGAGTTAGGTCGTATGGGCCTTGGGGGAGGTAGTAGTTCGATCCTGTATGAGCAGGTGTGTAATGTAAGGTACATGATGGAAACAAGCAAGGTATGTAATGGTCGAGAGGGTTGTATTGGCCTGGCGGAGGACTACAGGGGGACAACGGTGCCGAGGCTGCTGGGGCAGATTGTGTGGACATGCGTGAATTCGCGGACAGGACGGACTGATAGGAAACTACTCGGGATCTTGAGCTTAGAGTCGGGGGTTTGTAATTGGCCGGTAGTGGTATTCCGGTCCATCTCGCATCCGATTCTTGGTTTGAAGTTGACTTGATCGTGAGGCTGCTCACACGCTTTCGCATGACTTTGAAAGATCCACTTCGAGACATGGGAAGAGAGTCGGGACGGTGGAGACCTGGCGACTTTGGCGTTCCCCATGCTTGGAAAGTATCGATCTGATCCATCAGAGTTGTGGTCGGGCTGGTAAACGAGGGTATGTGATGGTATTGGGCCTTCTTCGAAGAGTTTGGTATTCTGTTGATCAGGGGTTCCGGTAGCTGTATAGTCTTTGGTCTTGCTCTCGGCCAGATTTTTGCCTTGGCTAACGGATCTGGTTCTGCGAAGCGTACCGCAGGTGGTGAAGACCTCCTGCTAGATGCCATAGTCACCGCATCGGAAGATTTGAGACTAGGCTTCAGGCTCGATCGTTGAGGCCTTGGTGGCGTAGATGCTGATGTTGTATTAGACTGGTCACTGAAAGATGACTGAGAAGAACGCGGCGTCGAACTGCCACTGGAAGCCGCATCGGCGGAAGGCGTATTAGGAGGCATTAGGTTGGTTGTTGATAGAGTACCGGTAGTGACTGTTGGGGAGCGACTTGTCGAAGTGCTGGCCAGAGAAAATTGGCTGGCTTTCGAGTTTTGTGTACCCTTTGATTGCTGTGTCGGTCGCATAGTGTTGGTCCCTGGATGTAGAATCTGAGACATTGCGGGCGGGGATGATGCCGGTAAACTGCCGAATCCAGCCTGGCTTTCAGGGCTCATCGATGAAACAAAAGGAGATCCAACGGACGTGCCTGGTCCAGCAGGAAAACGGTCGTCCGTCTCTGAACTGGCCAGAGAAAAAAGTGGATTGATGATGCGTGCGGGTGACGAAAGTCTCAACCAAAAAGTAAACTTGAGGACGAGTGCCGACCAAGCCAAGGACAATGCAGCTTGCGTCGAGGCATCTGCATCATCTAAAAGTACTCTGTACATCGGAAAGCAAACAAGAATGAGAGGCACAGCATATGGGGGCGGAAAGGCCATGTGTATGCGGCCTGGTTACCCACACCGAGAAACGCCGCACAACGCATCGCCCCTAAAGCACCGAATACTCCCTAGCCGCAGCAGCTTCCTGCAGAGCCAGGTCAGGATTCGTTTATCGAAGTATCTCAAGCTGTTGGATTCGAAGACTTATGCATAAGGTCTGCAGTGTCAAGAGGCGCAGTTCAGTGCCAGTCAGCCTCGCGAACACCAAATCGCAACGTGATTGGCACCGTCACACGTGGGCCGGCCCCCGCATAGTGGAAGGTGGCTTTAGTAAAAAACACAAAGTTCACGTGGGTCAATAGGAGAGTGACCAGGTGCAGGAGATACTTGGCGTTGGTCTATGCAATCTATCCGTACGACAGGTTGTCGCACATGTATGGTACATCTAGTCTGAGGCTCTGCCGATCGCTCCTGACTGGTAATAGAGTATGGTACAGGGCCGTTTGGCACCAATCTGGTGAGCTGACTATAGCTTGGGTTTGGGCTGTTCTTGCTTGAGCATAGCTTCGGCAACAAGACGTCGCTGGATCTTTCCTGTTGCAGTCTTCGGCCTGTAAGTGCGCAGTCAGTGCATGATTCATCTGCAATGTTATCGTTCACGTACATGGTATCGGTGAAGAAAATCTGCAGTTTGTTAGACTATGTTCCACATATGCGTCTTTGATTGGGTATCTACATACCTTCTTCGGGAGCTTGAATTTGGCAACGCGATCCGTCAGCCACGTCTTCAGCTCTCCCGCAGTCAGGGCATGGCCCTCTTTGACCACAATCGCAAGACCGACATCTTGGCCGTACATCTCATCTTCAATCGCGAAGCTGACAGCTTCAGATACAGCGGGATGCTGCGCAATTACGTTGTCGAGCTCAATAGGACTGATTTTTTCACCACCCTTGTTGATCAGCTCCTTGATGCGGCCGGTAATGATAACATATCCCTCAGCATCCAGCTTGCCCTGGTCTCCAGTGCGGAAGAAGCCACCCTGGGTGAAGGATGAAGCATTGGCGGCTGGGTTGTTGAGGTATCCCTTGGTAACGTTTTCACCACGAATGCAGATTTCAGCTTCTTTCCCTTGCGGCACCTCTTTGCCAGCTTCGTCGAGGATCTTGACTTCGACACCCTGACCGAGCCCCACACTGCCAGGCTTACGCTGATTTGGGGGGAGGGGATTACTGGTCATCTGATGGGCCGCCTCAGTCATGGCGTATGCCTCCAATACCGGAGCACCGAACGCCTTCTCGAGTTCGTGGAACGTTTTGGGCGAGAGCGGACTGGAGCACGATCGGATGAAGCGGATGTTGGGCATGGGGCTTGGGAGAGGGCTCTTGAGCAAGATCTGATGAATCGTCGGAACAGCCGTGTACCAATTTGCCTTGTGCTCATTGAAGTCTTTCCAGAAGTCCGAGGCGGAGAACTTGGGCGGCACAATGACTGAGCCTCCTGAAGCCAGTGGCGCGAGGAAGCCAGCAAGGAGGCCGTGGACGTGGAAGAGAGGCATAACCAGCATGGTACGATCCTTGAGCGTCAACTCGTAGGTTGCTTGGATGTTCTTCATCGTCCGCAGCAAGTTACGGTGCGTCAGAGGCACGGCCTTGGGGCGTCCAGTGGTACCGCTCGTGTGCAGCACAAGAGCGACATCGTCTGGCTGCGCGGACTGGACGGACGCGGTTTTACCCGCAAGCTTTCCAGCCTCTTTGACGTCCAGGACGACCTCGCTGCCATTGTAGTAGCATTCTGCGATGGCGGCATTGTATTTCCTTGCTGCGCGGACAGCTGCTGCATCTTGCGCGAATGCACCCTTTGGTACCAATGCGATCGCTGAGCTAAGGTCGTCGATGTAGAACTCGAACTCGGACTGTTTGTACGCCGGGTTGAGGGGCGCTGCGATGGCCCTCTGCCACGAGGCAGCGATGAAGGAGACGATGAACTCGTACGTGTTGGGCAGCGCGATGGACACAGCGGCCTCGGCAGAAACGCCGACCTTTGCCAGCTGCTGTTGGAAAGCCTTGACATCGGCGGCAAGTTTCTTGTACGAGACAGTCAGGGCAGGGCTACCGGGCACGATGACGGCGGTCGAGCTCGAGTCCTTGGAGAAGGCGTGTTCGAGAGTGGTTGGGGCCATGGCGATGGATTACTAGATAGGAGATCTGATGGTCGCGATTAGAGGAACACTGCTATGCGCGGGCTTCCTGGGCGATGGTACCTTTATGCTTCTATGACGCGCAATGAAATCTACAATTGATAAGAAACACCAGAGCCTGCTCAGATGTATTCGGAGATGTGGAAATGACTTATCACGGATAAGGATTTGGATGACAGCATGGTAACAGGCGTTCCTGCATGCCCGCGCGATGCGGCTAAGCCCTTAGCGTGGAGGGCGCGCCGAACGCCGGCACGCGGCGAGCTGGGGTGCTTGGCGGCAGTTGACATCGCGCCTGCCGCTCCACCACCCTCACAACCAACACACTGCCGTAGTCGAATCTCACCGTCGCCGCCTCATTGTTCAATCTCGCATCCACAATACAGCTGCTAATCTCTGCATTCTTAGACTTGTAGCTCAGCCCGCCACCGCTCACGAGTGACGTGCGCCAGTCGCATTTGCCATTGTTCAGCGCCGCACTTGCGCGTATATCGATATCAGCATGGCGGACCAGCCGCCGCAGAAGGCGCAAGGCCTGCCGAACCCATATGGTCTTCCCAACCCCTACGCCCAGAAAGGCCTTCCGAATCCGTATGCCGCGGCCACCATCTCCGCTGCGCCTGTCAAGTATACAGAGGAACAGGCCAAGGCCGAGCAGCTGAAGAAACCTGGTATCTATCTGAACTGCTCCGTACCATTGCCTTGAACTACGACTCATGTGATTGTCTAGCTTTCCATAACCCTCACCAAATCAAGCGTCCCCAGGCCAAGAAGGCTGTCCCAACTGTCAAGAGGGCCACCATGCCTGTGGCTGCCCCGCTCTCTTCGTCAGTTCCCGGACCCGCCAATCCTCAGCAGCATGGCATCGACTACTACCGGAGCACCGCAGAGGACGACGCCTCCATTCTGGAAGAGCGCAGGATGCGCGCGTATGAGGAGAAGCAGAAGAAGAAGGAGCAGAAGAAGTTCACCAAGATGTACGGACTTCATGAACCTCTGGCCGCTCACAAGCCCGACAAGCCGTCCAACTTGCTAGCCTACAAAGCCCAAGGCGGTTACCGACGCAAGAAGGAAGGCTTCACTGCCTTCTTGCGTGGAGCTGCCGCTCAGCACAAGTCTCGCGATGGCAGTGAGGAAGCCAGTGGCACCCCGTCGGCGTCTTCGTCTAGCTCAACGCCTGCTCCAGTTGCTACCAAGCCTTCATTCGCTCCACCTGCATACTACGACGATAAATCTGCGGCGCCCTCGTCCGACCCGTCAGGAGAAGATGCTTATGCCCGTCGCATGCGTCTGTCGCAGCAGCAGTCTGATGCCGTGCCGCCGCCACCTCCGTCGGTCACAGATGACTATGTACCTCCGCCTCCGCCCCCGCCCCCGCCAGCTGGTTCACCACCAGCCCCGCCGAGCTATCAGGGTGCTACCATCTCTGCGCCGCCTGTCCGATACGCGGCCGCCACTATATCTGCGCCTCCAGTCCGGTACGAGCGTCCTGACGTACAGATGGAAGATGCAGACAACGAGCCCGCCCATGACGAACGCCCCGCCAAACGCGCCAAGATCAGCAAAGCCGAAGCTATGATGAATAAGATGGGTTACAAGAAGGGTCAAGGTCTCGGAAAGAACAACGATGGTGTCGTTACCCATCTGGAAGTCAAGAAGCGCAGGGTTCCTCAAGGCGCAGGCAATCTCGACGCGAACGGCAGAGTCCAGTCTCAACAAGTCTGGGATGTCAGTGGTGGTATGCGTATCCAGAAAGACGAGCCTAGCAAGTTCGGCGACAAGTCAAGTGTCGTGGTCACATGGGGTTGCGTCGACGGTGTTGACTGGGACGCCAACGCCGAGCGCAACGACGGAGGTATCCGACAAGACATGGGCGAGGCGTTCGGCAAAAAGGTAAGGCTCAAAATGCGGTCGTCAATGTACATATGCTAACAGAGTTCAGTTCGGTGGCGATGTCGAGCGTATTCAACTGGACGAGAGCAACAAGGATGGCGTAGTTTACATCCAGTTCAACTCCCCGATGGCCGCCCTCAACGCCGTGAACCGCTTCGACGAAGGATGGGAATTCAGAGGCAGGAAGATCCGCGCCCAGTACTACGACGAGCGCAAGTTCCACTCTGGCATCTACGACTACTAGAAGCCACTGCTCTGATCAGTGTCGGCCTGTCGAATTCACGTGTTCTAGTCGTTAGCCTTCGAAGCATCGTTGGAGTATTCCACTTTATGACTGGTGTGACGGACAGGAATGACGGCAGGGAGGATATGAGTTGTTGGAGCATGTGGCATCGCTGGTATGGATCTGGATACGCTTGAAGGGCGGATGTGTATGACTATATGGATCGGGGAGGGGTCTTATGCTCGTCTCTTCAAGAGATTAGAGCTTTGAACATACTCCGGGTTGCTTTACAAGAAGCATTATACTAGGATATGCCCGGACTCAGCTTATGGTATATCACCATGGAATATGAAGTCCGCATTCCACAATACAAGCTCTGCAAACATGTGGTGTTTAAATTCCGTACTCGAAACTTGACAAGCAGGTATAGTGACGAAACTTCGTAAGGTAGCAAACGGGATATCGTTATCGTATCGTCTAAAAGGAGATACGCCGCAGTCTCTGCACTCCTACTCGTACAGAAGTATAACATGTCCCCCCATCTAATATCAGACTCCAAGATTCGCCCGCAACTAACCCATGTCTCTAATGCGAGGTACGCCCGACTCCAAGGTATATATGCTCTTCGTCCACTTCTCAATCACTCTTCACTCGCGCTGTCTCACAGCGGCTAAGCATTTCCAGGCTTCTCATCCGTATCGATATGCCAGACAACATAGTTAGGCAATCCATATACGCCGTAGCCTGCGCGCTTGGCCATCTTTGCAAAGCCTTCTGTCTCGGCTTGGTTTTCGAAGGGGTAGCAAGGGAAGTTTACGCCGGAGCGGTGGACGTCTGCTTTTACGATGATGTTTACGCCGCCGATGCCGTCGAGGGGTATTTCTTCGTCTTTGTCGGCGCGCCAGTCGCCCATTGTGGCCATGTACTTGCGGTTCGTGGGGTATTGTTTGTAACCTGTGGGTGTGTGAGCTGATGTCGAGGGAGGAAATGTGGAAGGCAGGGAAAGTACCTTCTGCGAGGACAATGTCTTTGTCCAGGGTAGAGGCAAGTTTTAGGCCTTCGGGGGATTCTTGCCAGGAGTTGTAATCGACTGAGTCTTGTTAGTGGGGATTGCGGAATCGAGTGGGGTGAAGACTCACAGCGCCCTTCGATGTCGACCATCTTGCCATTCTCCTCCTTGTACCTGTGGAACCAGATGTCTGTGTAGTGTTAGTAACAGCTTTCAGAGATGGCATCTGCAACACGTACTAGGAACGAGAACATCCCGATCATGCGCCACAAAGTCCTCGATGATCTTAGACGGACTGTCGACGATATCTACGTCCCTCCAGTATACCCAGCTGTGCTCCGGCTTCAATGCAGTGTAGAGTAGGTAGTTCCTGGCCTTGCCCAGCGCCTTTCTTCGTGGACCTTGTGCCTCAAAACTGTGTCTATCCTCTACGCTTTGCGAGAGCGTGACACCGAAATCTTTCTCAACAATCATGGTCGACCTGAACGCTACTTCGGGGTTGTTTTGGACCCTCTCCAATTCCTTTGCCAATGCCGCCATGGTATCGTCTGTTGTGTCGCCGACCAGAAACGCCAGATCGATCAGCTCGTGGGGATACGTGAGTGACGTGAGAAGGTCGAAGTGTTTCGCGAGATAGTACGAGGCATCGCGGAGCGGAGTGAGGATCAGAACGCGTTCCTTGTTCTTGGCTGCGTCAATGGTCGAAGTGACGCCGTTCAGATCGACGTGCTGGATTTCGGTGGCATTGACCTCTATTGGTTTGTGATGGTTGAATATCACGGGGGTATTTAAGTGCGCGTGCCAGTCTTCGTTCTCGTTCGCTGTCATGTGCATTGGAGGTTTCGAGGGGCCGAAGCAGTAGAACCTGGGACAGTATGATTAGCGATTGCTCCATGTAACACATTGGGAGACCTGGCATACCTCTGCATCTCCCCAGCTGCTGACCCCATGGACCGCCATAGCAGTACGATTGCTGTGACCAGACCAATGGAGATGAGGAAGCGTGGGTTCCGTACTGTACTGATGACCTGCCTTGATGGTGGCAGTCGGGCTTTAGCAGCCTTCCACGAGTATCCTTTGCCCGCAAGCATGTTGAGTCGGTAGGATCCCGCGTGTTCCTTCTCCACCTCTTCCCCTCTGGCCTGTGATATGCGTATTGATGAGCTACGCGCTCGGACGCTATCGGTATTACTGGTTTCCCTCTGGGAATGGAGCGGCGGCGATTGCGACTGTGGCCTCTCCAGTTTGGCGGTTGAGAGCGCCCGGGCGCGCGACGTTTGGGGTGTGGACTAAATGTTGCTGGTGACGTCGCAGCGAGGTCGGGGGGAAGCAGCGGCGGAAGCGACAGACGGTAATGACTAGTGAAAGCAGGGTCCTGACTTGCTGCACAGTGGGACACACGAGGGAAGCTGCGAAAGGGGTGAACGACAGGCGCAATTGCGTTGCAGAAGCAATTCGTTCAGTACAGATTACCGTTGAGCGCGACGAGCGTGCGAATGACGCTAAGTGCAGATCAATCGCGATAGTGCCGCTGATGACGACGCCTCGGAAATATGATAGACGGTAATTCTCTCATAATTCACCGGAGACCACAACGAAATGCCAATGTTACATGTTTGGCCTAAAACGTTGCTCAATATACTTGTTCCGTAGCGATTGGGCCCTGCATGCGTGCCTTCCATTTTCCTGGGTAACCGCACGTGAAAGCATGTATTGGGAACACCAAACCGGCGGCGCCCCGGCTCCTAACAAAGAAGCTGCGTGGTACAGAATGTCGTGCATGGGACATGTCTGCGATATGTACGAGAGAAGCTCACTCGTTTACCCACATCATCTGTTATACGAACTTAGTGACTGCGGCCCGCACTTTAGAGCCCGCTCTCCGTCTTACCACCCATAACTGAAGGGATGCCTGAACTTGGTATTCGAGACATGAAAGCCTCGTCTTAGGTATTCAAGAGCCGAAAGAGAGTTCAGGTATAAACGACAATGCGGTATAGAATATTCTACTTGAAATGCATGGACGTCGTTGCAGGTGCGCTGCAAACTAGCGGCGCAAGACAGTCTCAGAACGTATGGGATCAAGTTATGCGGGAGGATGGATTGAGCTGAGCTCCTGTACCACATTCGACAGAAGCCCTAGCTGTTCTTCGAGCGCTTGCCCTTGCACTTGTCAGTTAATTTTGGCAACACTATGACATGATCGATGTCCGGCGCGTCAATAAGGTCAAAGCTCATACGCCAATACCCACCACTGTTGGCGTTTCATCCTCCTTTTGAGAAACACTGTGAAGGCTTGATGAGACGACATGGACAGACATGACACATTTGAAAGCTCCGTTCGGCAAAAAGCAAAGTTCAAGTCATAGGCGGTGAAGCTCGCAAAGGCCTCAATGCGTGACGTAGGATTTCCAGACAAGCACATGCTAATTTCAACACATCACAAGAAAACGCAGAGCAGATTTAAGAAAGACTGTATGCCACTATCCCAAATAAAGCAACTCCTCCTGCAATTCTGCACACCGTGTCGCGGGGCAGACATATATGTACTGCGAATTAACAGGCTGCTCGACCCTCGTAGCCAAATGATACATTCAATTGTTACATGCTGAACCATGAAACCGTCCCCGATGCCCCTTCAGTCCTCAAATGCTGAACTCCTGCGTCAGCGCCTGTTCGCTTGATGCTATACGCTATCAAAGAAAGTCAGGTGGGGGTAGTCTATGCAATTATGATGGAACGCCAGCGTCATAAGCTTTTTAGAGAAGGAGAACAGCGGCCATGGCGGCGAGGCCAAGGGCACCGTTGACAGCGCTGAGGGTGGTGGCAGCGCCGGTCTTGTCGTCACCGTCACCCTGCTTGGTACCCTTGTGGCCCTCACCAGCGGGGTCGATGAGCTTGCCCTCGCACCTGTAGCCACCCTCGATGAGCTTCTTGTCCTTGAGGGGCTTGTAGGTCTTGCAGGTCTCGGTGACGTTGTCAGTGGACTGGAGGTTGAAGGCACCGGAGACGCTGTTGAGCTTGGGGGTGGTAACGCTGGCAGATGTTAGCAAGGCATGTTGTACAGCGAATACGAGGCAAACTTACTCAGTGAAGTTACCGCTCATGTCGAAAGCTCCACCGATGCTCTTAAGGACAGGGTAGCCATCAATCTCGATGAGCTTGGAGTTGTTGGCGATCTGGAGGTTGCCGGAGATCTTGGTGAGCGCCGGGAAAGAGACGTTGGACAGGTTCTCGTTGGCGACAAGGGCAACAGCCTCGCCGACGGAAGTAAGGTTGGGAGCGGAGAAGGACTCGAAACCGTTGTTGTAGAGACCAAGGGAGCCGTTCAGGCGCTCGAGGGAGGGAACTGAGACGGAACCGCAGAAACGGAAGGTCAGGTTGCTAGCCCAGATAAGGTTGGGCAGCTCGACCTTGACGGCCTCGTTGTTGTCGGCAAGAGTCAGCGACGTGGAGACGTTGCCGAGCTGCATGGAGATCTCATCTATGTAACCGTTGTTTGCGATGAAGACAGTGTCGACCTCCTCAATGTTGATACCCTTGAGGGAGCGGAGAGCGGTGTTCTGGATGTCGACCTTGTTGGCCTTGGTGACCTCGCCAGTGAAGCCAATCTCCTGAAGAGCGGGCAGGGCGTTCCACTTGATGGAGTCGATGGCCTTGAGCTTGGGGAAGTTGACGGCGTTGAGACGGGTCAAGTCGTTGAGCATCATCTCTCCGTCGAGCTCCTCGAGGTCGCTGGCGCTGATCTGCTTAAGCTCGGTCGCGGTGTCGGCAATCAAGTCACCCTTGATCTTCTTGACGCCGGGGAAGGAGATGTCGTCGGTGGTACCAGTCGCAATGGCGATGTTACCGGAGAAGGTTGAGCAGGAAGCGATGGCGCTGGCGTCACCGGCATTCTGGATGGTGGTGGTGGCGGAGACACTGCAGGCAGCTGGGGTGTTGTCAGTCAATGTTGACGCGGTCTAATGTTAGAAAGCATACCGTACGCGCCGCTGGCAGCAGCCAGGGCCGGGAGGGCGATCTTCATCATGGAAGGCATTTTGTGTAGTGCAAGTGGTGTGGTAACTGGGAGGAAAAGTCAGCGGGCGCGTCCATGAGGCGACTGAGAAATGTGGACTGGCAACACGGACCTGGGATATTAAGACTGCTCGTTCCGGTTTCAGTTGTGCGGGTGCTGCGGGCTAGTTGTCGAGCGTGGAAAGATGCTGGAGCGAGGGGAAGAATTAACAAGTAAAGCAGGCAGTATTAAATAGAGTAGTCCCAGAGACGCGATCAAGAAGGCGCGGTCGTCAGTAGCGAGTGTGGGTGAAGACTGAGAGAGAAAGGGCAGGAGGGCATTCTAATGGGAGCAGGCGCGAGAAAAGGGGAGCGCGGTGGTGCCAGTCCGGGCAGCCGCTAATAACGCTAGTGAGGCCGGGTGGAGATCATAGGCGGCCAGAGCGTGCCCACCATCATCGATCAAGCAAGCAAGCCAGAGTGAATGTTGCAAGCGGGCCTGGGGCCACGCACTGGTTGCTGGTGCAGATGGTTTCGCCGCCTGCGCGCGACGACACCGCCAGCAGTGCCGTGGATGCTGCACGCTCGTGGCTACCCGCATCGTGTTGCCATGACTGCACCACGGCGGCCGTACCGAGCGCGCGGACGGAGTGGTTTGACAGGCGAGGGCTACCACAGCTCTGCATCCATTATCCATGATGCCTCCTCGCCGCCCGTCGCCTGCCACCGCACGCTGCTTGTCGCTCTTAGCTTCACGTGCCGAGCACGCTGCTCCCAATTTCAAGCTCTGAACCCTCTGGTTGCCCTGATAAGCACCATGCAGCATCCGCAAACAGCAGCCTCTCATGCGTGAGCCTCAACAACAGGGGTCGCGTCTGGATCGCCGCTCTGTCGCCCTAGGAGACGGCCATCCGCTACTGTGCCCGCACCATTCCGCTGCTCCCCAACGTCTCCATCCGTCGTCGACGGACCTGTTAGTTTTGCTGGTAACCGCTCACTACGCGGCAATGCGGCACCTTCGCTCCATGCCCGCCCATCCAGAGTCTTCTTTTGCCACTGTCTGGCCGACACGAAACACAACAAGCACCGTGGATTATTACGCGGCCTTTTACTATATCCGCCACCCCTGTCCAATGGTTTCAATGCGGTTACACCCTTGATGGGCCAGATCCGAGTTAGGTATAGCGCAGCCGTTGCAATCTCATGAGATGCGAACCCCAACAGCGGTTATAATTACACCACGACCTTGCGCGCTGGAGCTCTATTGCTGCTTTCGGCCATGTGCACTCGCCTCTCCTTTACATCCATTCCGCCCCAATATCTGCATTGCGCTTCATTTCGTTATTCTCGTTCTCCAGACGGCTGTTGCGATGAACCATCTCGCTTATCGTCCACCCCAAGCGACAGCCTCACCATCGATCCTTCCTGCCAAGCTTATTGCTTGACGCGCATTGATTGACCTCTCATTTCCAGCCTGGGGCTTCAGAGGTCCACTTGCGCCGCACGCACAACGTCGTGTTTCCTGCCATGACGTCGGCAGTTACAATTGTTTCAGTCTCGGATTTTTTCTAGAATCGCCCACCACCCCCTACAACGAAGAAACTCAACAGTCGCACTGCTGTACAGACGAACACATAAGTAACCGTCGATGGATTTCTAAGGTAATGTAGAATTGTGAAACGATCTATCATCCTTTGAGAGCTAGGTATTCGAGTCTTCCATCGATGGGCTGAAGTCTATATATTAGTCCACTTTGCCGCCCTCACGATGCCCGCGGTCAATATCGTTTCGTTGAGCTTACTTTTTACATACAAGGAGCGAGCGCTGCAGCCTACTCATTCGCGCCGCTTTTCGCTTCCGACCTCATCTTGCGGCAGTACTGAAATAAGCCTTTCTGGCCGATTAGTGGGTCCGTCTTTGATCCCTCCACAATTCGCGACTTCGAACATCATGGGCATTTGCGACATCGTACATCAGTAACATTTCACTTACGAAGGAAATACGAAGCCGAGTAGACGAACGTGTTTGACCCAATTGCTCAGTTTACGCATCTTTGGGGTCTTACTCACGGTTCGCATACAAACTTCGCGCCACT